TGTCAGGGTAGGACAAAGGGATTGTTTTAGAGTCTAAATTACATGAATGATTATAGCTAATTGAAATCAAAGACATGTACATTCTAGTCATACTAGATCATAAATAAAACGATGACAATGTTTTGACAACCACTGTATGTGAACAGAGAAATAGCCGAAATATAGATACTAACCGAAATAGGGAAATATGGCATCATTTGTAATTTATGAGAACACACAAATGATTTCTTTACGTCTTTTAGTTTTGTTACATTGTATTTGCTTTCAAAAAATGAAATGTCCTCATTTTATAAGGGGTCACCTGTTAGACAGTCTGGCTTGCAAATTATACATTAACAGAGAGAAAACATTACATAACATGAAATAAATGACAGACTAATTAATGTAATTTCGAGAAAAATGCAAATAATTTGTAAATATAAAAAAATTATAACAATTCAAATACAACTACGATAAAAAAAAAATTATAGAGGGTAAATTGTAAAGACATTGGTAACATAAGTATAGAATAACTGGTAGCAGCTAATGAAATAAACAACATTAAAAAATTTATTCATAGTAATTGGTAGTTAATATTAGTAAATTATTTAATTGTCTTTTAAAATATCCAATTAAAACACCTTAGTAGGAACTAGGTTTTGAAACATTAGAGAGTCACTAAAGTAAGTTATCTGCAATATGTACATAAATGTCTCCTTCTAGTAAACAATTTGGAGAATACATGCTCCTATAGGAACCAAACTGTAAAGATTGATTGCGTATTTGTTTGACAGGTTGAGATAAAAGAGACACAATCATTCAACGGTTATTCAGCACATAATTGTTTTCTATACTGGCGGTTTGACATATTTACATCCCCCAGTGGCATATCACATCACATTTATGATCTTCCAAGGGCCAGAAATATAACTTTAAAAGATATATGAAAATAACAATTTATTCACTAAATAACTCTTTATTGCTATAGCTATTACGAGTGCATATATGTATTGGCAAGGTGAAGTCATCATCAATTTGCTAACCATATCACAAAATGAGAAAAGGTACATGTTGTTATTTGTCAATAATAAATTTTAAACTTTTAAAAGAAATTAATGATCATATAAACATCGAGTAGAATGTCAAACAAATGAAAAATATATTTGCCCTGCTGTGGTTATAAACGTATTCTAGGTAAATCTATTGAACTTCAATAAAGTCATAACTAATTGTAACAAAATACATGTATACAAACATTACCACTAAATAATACACATTGTATTCGGTGATGACCAATACTCAAAGTTTTGAATTATAAAAAGTCCAAACCAAAACGCCATAAAGCAGACCAATGCCATACGTGCATACAGAGTAACATAAGATTAAAACAAACAAAAACACTTTTAAAAAAAATCAGTTATGAAAAGATGTAGTAAACTGAAACATGAATTCAAGTACCACTGACATTAAATATGATTCATTAAAAGTCATATTCTACGTCTTCATGTGTTGTAGGGTTGGGGAAAGTATAATAGTTGTATCCACAAAAACATGAACAAATGATAAAACTAAAAAATAATGCAGCTGAACTGTCAAATTAAAAATACAAAAATTAATAAAAACTGTTAAAAATCATTATGATTTGTGAACAAATAATACATTAAATAAAAAAAACACAGACGTGTATTATTTATCGTTTGTCGATTATGAATAGTTACTAATACTAATACACACATTATACACTACATATCCTGTATGCAAATAACACATTATATACTGATCAGTAAATCGTTCATACACAACAAGGTATTGTTGTACCAAAATAGGTAGCTTTAGTTGCGTATATACATTGCAAATATTTTGCCACAGTAATCACATCAAACCGATATCCAAGGCATGAATTTTAACTACAGTATTTGTATGTAAATTCAACAGTTGGTAGACGTCTCTGTACTTGCCTCGTCGAGATACATGTCGTTATGTTTCTAAGTGTTGCGTATTAGACGCAATCCTGCCTGCAGATACCCCTGACTAGAGCAAGCTCTATCGGTATAGTGGTCACATGCTGAGCCCGCTGTGTATCATTGCCTGTGCAACGAGCCACATTGACTATACAGTGACTAGCTTAGCTGCAGGGCTGGTATTATACAACACCAGGAACCAGTGTAAAACATATCACAAGTATTACTTCAAGAGTAGACACAATCATATTGAGACCAATACCAGAACCGATCAATTTTGAAATGCATGTATTCAAGCCATGCGATTTAGTTGTTGTGTTCTGTTGCAAACAATAGTGTACAGTGTATATACTCATTTCGGATTTAGAGCCTACTACCATGTTGTAGGTTTTGATTTACTGATGCATATACAATAGAATCAATGCAAACTGCTTGGAGTAAAATGAAATAGGAGAAATGCAAAGTATATATAATATAATGAATATTTTATATTCTAAAAATCATATACTACAATAATAAGATTAAATCTGCAGCAAATTGTCTTGTTTTTAATCATATATATAAAACAGAAAATAAATCTTACAATATATATATTGACATGTAGATTCTACTAAAATTACCCATTATCTCATCACAAATCATAATATAAACTACTGAAATGTTCTTCTAAAGCAAACACCATTTCAGTTGGCACACATTTACAAATGTACTAATACTAATTAACAGGCTGTCGTACTTGAGCTGATAAAATATGCTTATAATAATTGACAAATACATATCCTATTAACCAGTGTTCAGATATGACGCTGTATTAATGAAATACTATATAAGGAAAATTCCCAAAACCAAAACAAATGTGGTTTCAAATGAACTACATACTAAACATTTGCATCAAATATAGATTAGTTTTCATCAGATTAGATATCATTTTTTCATAATTAATATTACTGTATTGCACTGGGCGACCGTTACGTCTATGCTTTATACTGAAATGTATTATACATGTATATAGGAATATCAACAATTAATGTTAACACACACAGTGTTGATACATGTACACAACAAGAGCCTAAACATTACCAGTTGTATTCCTTTGTTTTCAAAGGTAATTATGAACAAATGCGTTGGGTTGGTTCTAAATTGTCAATCTTGTCTGCCGTTACTTATTTCGATGTCAAATTACATTTATTATGTGTTTCATAAAACCGAAATTGGAATATATGAATGCAAGTCTCTTATAGCTACGCTGCGTGCTACAAATCTGTAGGAATTTATACACGTATCTGCATTCTTCCTTGCAAAGAAATGAACATTCCATAGAAGAAATAGTGCCACAATACTTCAAACTTGGCTTATTCATTTCAATGCAAAGAACATAGGGAAACATGTTACTGCTGTCATATACTACTCAGTTTGAGTGGATAATGTATAACAATAGGGTTATTACAAGATTGCTGAAAGTGTTTTCTGAGACTCTGTGCTCAGCACTATAGATCGTGACTTTTAAGTCTCACATACTCAAAACTGCAGCTTGCAGTACTAAAAGTCATCTCCGGCATTAGTCTTTAATAACCTAAACAGGAACAAATTATTATAGTGAATGGCATGCCATGAATATTGTTCTATACTTGTCTTATTTATAGACAAACCACACAAGATTTTATTTATGCTCTTCAAACATCTTTGTGATCCAACCTGTGAAGAAACTCAACATATGAATTGTGTCAGTATAACAAATATTATGGTTATGTAACAAGCAGGATTTTGCGCTTAGTGTAAACAAATTTTATATTTTATATATAAATGATAATTTTTTCGTAATGATACACCATATTATATGGATGTATTTTTTGTAATTCAACATTCAAAATAGAAAATATCGAAAGGTACAAGTAACAAGCCCCATGTTTGAGATCACTTATTTTCACAATTATATTTGATAAAAAGATGGCATTCGGCTATAAATTTCATTTGCTGCTGTTACAATTGTAGCTTTATAAATATACGAAAGCCAGACAATAGTTGCAGACTTTCTGTCGATTATCTTCAACAGTGTAGCAAACTAGGAAACAACCATGTCCAGTTGTTTAACCTCTGTTGCTTTTTCTCTTACAATTAGTGTTGACTTCGTAATTGACGAGGGTGTAACCCTATGGAAATCTAGTTTCGATGACCTACTTGGTGGCCATTATAAGTAGTGTAGCTACATGTGTTTTACTGTATTGGAATGAACAGCGAAAAAACGAGACACTGCTACATTCCAACGCTAAAACATCACAACTAAGAATGGATTTGTTACTATATAGCACTTTATCATTAGTTTCAGTTATGTCTGGATTACTTCTCTTGTACATTGCTCCACCAAATCTGAGATGCTACTTTATTGCTTTGATATGTGAGAAGCCTTTGTGAATTAATCAGCCTGGACACCTCTTTTAAAATTGTGCGCATAGTGTCAAATCGGGAAATTAGACAATTTGCACAAAAGTTATGTCTGGCCATGGTATAAAATCAAATTTAATTAGTCTGTTGAGTTGACAATGTTACAAATCAGTTATCCATGCTGCTTTGCTAACTCATAATAATAGTTCGTCTGGATGGTGTAAAATTAAATTAGTTTAGTTCTGTTTAATGTTGTACGTAGCCATATGTATACATCTTTTTTTTGTGTTGCATACGCCTTTAGTAATCATTTTCTAATAGATGGAGGAGCTATCCTGCAGTAATGGCAAGTTCTCTTCACTGTCACTGAATACAAAGAATACATTAAATTGCAAAAGCTAATAAACATTGATTTTTTTTTATTATTTATGTGCCAGGCATTAAATGTCACTGTTTGTCTCTCCTGACTTTTTTATGTTCAAATTGCAAGTGCAAGTGCTGACATATAGTACATTATACCAAATAAACCATATTCATGTTTGGGATTACATTGCAGGTTTCTGTGGCCATCATTTAATTTAATGTGCTATCCTGGCATCAACCAGGCCCAGTCAAGCATAAGTACCAGACTTTAACTAACCAATGTTCTCCCGAAATCACATTCTTTAGTGAATGAATCTAGGACAAATTGGTAACCACATCTAAAATTCGTTTCGCATATCCAATTGATTTCTTTGCTGTTTCCTGTGTATATGCATCATTTGGTATTCTGGTTCCTCCATACATGTCAGGGTAACGAGGATGGAGATGGTCACAACGAAGATTCAACAATGCTATGACATCATTTGTAACATCTGTACTGATATGTGTAGATAGCTTAGAAGCCAGAGAAAGTATGTTGTGTGTATTTGAATCAGGTAGGTAGCCCAAAACTGTATAAAACCCACCCTTCAATGCCTTCTCCACAGCCTGTTGACACTTGAAACAAACCCACTCGAAAGAAGACGGGTCCCCTTTCATGTCTTTGCTTGCAGCATGTAAGTCTGCATTTGCTTGTCGAAACCAACGTTTCCCTTCTGTAGGGTTTGATTTTGTTTTAGTCCTAAATCGTGAATATGAAGGATAAGACGACTTTTTTCCTCTATCTGAAGATGAACTTCTATCAGAAAACCAACGCTGTTCTCGTTCACGGTCAGCTCTAGCCTCCCAATCCCACTTGTCATAAGAGTAGCGGAACCCTTCACCAGATGAACCTCTGGAACTACCTGAGCTGTACTGCGATTTTGAAAGCTCTTTCTCTAATCTATCAAGCTCATTTTTAATGTGTTTAAACACTTCGCCAGCATACTCTTCATTGCCAATGTTTTTATCTGGATGCCAGAGTAGGTATAATCTCTTAATTGCCTTTCTTTTTTGTTCCTCTGTTAAAGTAGAATCTGATAAAATACTTTCAAGTTGTTTTGTAATTTCTTCAAACATTTCTTGCAGTGGTTTATTATCCATTCTAGCTCTTTTTGCTTGACTGCTGTATGTAGATTCAGTGGGAACTATGTCACCATGTTTCTTTTGTTTAATTTTGTACAAATCGAGTGATGTAACAACTACAGTTTCTTCCTTCCCAATGTTAATTTCATACATTTGTATAAAATAAGTAGATTGGTTATCTTGTGTTTTCTTCACTTCTTTCACAATTTGTGCATACATGTAAGTAGATTGGTTCTCAATGATGTCTAATTGATACCCAACAAACTCTCCAGGTTTGAAGTAGTGGTTAGGATTATGATTCAGAAAATGCAGATCTGACTCCGGTATTTCGATACCAACAGGAGGGATGAAGTATGAATAATTACCTTCATCAGTTACATAGCCATTTTCTAGAAGGTAAGCAAAGATTCCATCAGAATTTTGACACAGCAATAGATCTTGTATTTGCATTTGTATACTAAATGCCCTCCCTCCAAGCAGTTTTGCCACTACTTTAGTCAGTTCACTAATAAACATTCTTTTCTGATTAGAATCATGATGTAAATACAACATTGATTTTCTTTTATCATATCCTAGGTGCACCTGTTCAATGCGCATGCTGTTCACAACTTTCGTATTTGACTCGACATTGATTAATTCTATATAAACCTTATCAAGACACATGACTGTTACTTGTTGAAGCTTATGTTTAATTGCTTCTGCCATGTCTATATGATCTTCTTTTATTAAAATGTTGTGTATCGCTTCAGAAAATTCTTCCGAGGACAGCATACATTGATATAATTGCTGTACATGGCATGATGGATGATCCTTACATGGCTGTGGATTCACTATTTCATTTCTAACAATACTGCTCAAGTATGTGGGCCGGTGTCTTTTTGGTAGTAACTTTAGTAGATCTCCGGTGAAGACATGTAAACCACACTCTCTGAAGTCAACAAGAAAGTCACGTCCAAGACCTTTAACTTTTTTAATGTTGCATGGAATATCATGAAAGACAAGCTCAGATGATAATTTAATTTTCTTCTCAGTACTTATAAGATACAAGTTGTGATACTGCAAATATTTATCAAATGTTTCCACTGTGTGACTCTGTCTTTGTGTATCCTTTAGAGAGGTGAATAGAAGACAGATGACATGACATGCTGTTATAAGAGTATTGGGATCCAGTTCTGTAAGATAACTACGTGTATATATGTCCTCTAAAACACCGGCAAGTTGCACCTCAGTCATATTTTCTGTGGCGCCAAGAAGATGAAAAAGAGAGGCATAAGGTCCAAAATCCAGAGGGATACTATAAATAAATGGTTCTAATTTGTTATCAGGTATTTTCATTACTATTTGTTTAGCCTTAACAATTTTGTTGTACTCGTCCACCATAATAATAGGAACATTTTCTAATTTCAGCTTTATAATTTTACAGCTGTTACACATCGAATCATTCATACAACGAGTGTTTTTTTCGCATTGTTCCATTAAATATTGGTAAATGTTTTCCCACACTGATCTGACTTTTTTATCGCTGCGTGCACCATGTCTATCATAAATATCCTCGTGAGAGTTAGAATTCACAAAAGTGTTTGATAAAATTTGGCAATGCTCCAATACTAACTTCAGTGGAGGATGTGGCTGCAGATTAAGATTTTCACAGAGTAATTTGACAATTTTTTTGTCAATTTGATGGTCACATGGATCAGCCCAATCTGGCAAGAGGGGGGCTACCGTCCACACCAACTTTGCATAGCTCAATTTAATGGATTTATTAAAATATGTAAAATCCTCTGTGCACTGTTTTGGACATATTTTGAGTAAATCCCCATCAACGCTATCTACCGGCACAAATTTTATGTTTGATATTTCTTGAAAAAAAAGAGCATTATGGAAGTGTGTGTTGCACGTCATAAACTTGATCAACATCTTCGACTGTGACAATGCCAATTCTTTACTACTGTGTTTTGTTTTTTCTATCTGTTTGGCAAAATTTATGAAGTCTTGTTGTGAGACATCTTTGTGAAGTCCAATAAGCCTGAGGAAAGGTAACCATTCATTGTTGCGAAATGGAGAAGGTGGAAATGACTCGTCAGGTAACATTGTATGGAATATTTTATTGTCTGGATCATAGAATCTGCTGGCTTGAAGTACTGCAGTAGTTCCTTGTGTATCAGGAATAAAACCAAGATGTCTCAGCCTATAGGCCAGTGGTTCTTTCCCGTCATTTAAGAGTTGTCTTAAATTTATCAGATGTTTTAGTTGAGCTTTTTTGCTTAAACTTTGAAAATGTGGCAGGATATATTGCATATAGACGTCTTTGGTTGTTATCTTCCTTATTCCAATAACTTCATATATATCCTGCAGTCTATCATTCCACTTCAAAAGTACACATTTGTACTCACTCAGCCATTTATCACATTCTATATTTGGGATGTTGTTTGTTTTGTTTGTTTGTGGGGCATTACATATAGTGTATTGTGCTATAGAAACTATATCACCAAACATTGTAGGGTAAATTGGGAGGTTCTTTAATGTTTTCACAATCATAGGATTCCTTTCAATGTCTTCTTGAAAGTACTTCAAAACTGCTGTACATTCATGTTCACTTAGCATGGTGCACCAATCACCATTGCTCAGATGACAGTTTAAAACATTTGCTACATCTGCTCTCACTCTGTAGTCACAAAGACAGTCTTCTACAAGTAACTGTACAGCATGCTCATCAGCTTTAGTTGTAACTATTGAACCATAATCAATTTCAGCACAACCAAGCTTCTTGGCAATCTGTACGATAGTTTGAACAGATGAGGTGCATCTGACACCTATTTTTGGATTAAATATTCTCCTTGCCAGTGACATTGGTACCAAATGTGATGTTGTTGTAGGCATAATGCACCACTTTATCAGGGCACCAGGGAATTTGTCACACATACTACGACGAAAAG